TGTGAGAGCCGTAATGTTTGTCCACACACTTTATCTTGCATTATGGATGCAGAGGTAATGTGGTCTTGCGTAAAATCATTCTGATTAGATTTCTTTTTTTATGTCTTCTTACATGGAATTATCTTGAAGCATGATTCAAATTCTGAGAGCTACCCTACTAAGTATACTTTAAGGCATTAGGAGATTCTAAGTAATGTATCTTAAATATTAAGGAATCCTTCCAACAATCCTTGACACATTTCTTACAGGTTCATGCAAGCTGAATACTAATGCATCAGAATTAAAAGAGGTGCACTAGAAAATTTCTTATAGATTATTCACACAAGAACGCCCAAAGGGACCTAATTGCTCGGTCAAGTTTGTGGTCTCAATATAGCACCCCAGACCCTGTTAGGATACAAATTGTATCCAGTGATTGATGCATAGACAAACGTTGACAGAACCTACTATACCTATGTATAGTATGTCAGTCTTTGTTTAACCTATGTATACCTTGTATACCAAAAACAGAGATGATTATGGTGATCATAGATTGGGTTAGGCTTGCATTTTAAGGACTTGTCCAGAAAATGAGGTGCTCTAATAAGACATTTTATATGTGTACATGTATAAGTTACGACAGGCTAGGAATTACTTTTTTTTATGGGGGCGACTTTTCAAAAAACCAAGGGGCTACTTTAAGAAATGTGGGGGCTACTCTTGACAAAAAGGGGGCTACTTTCTTAAAGCCATATTGTAAGCTGTAACAAATTTTACAATAAGTTGTGTTTTTCCTTAGCCATCATACCACTATAGCGACTAAATTGGTACTTAATATGTTATTTAGTATTTTTTCTGTTCCAAATTTTAATCAAGAACAATGCAATCCCATCAAAAAGAAATATCTAATTCTGTTTAAAATTGTGTAATTTACAACTTAAAACCATTAAATGTGAGTGATTATTTTTTACTGTTGTCTCACATACCAATTATATTTGTTATAACAAACAATAAAATTGAAGAACAATAATAGAAATAGAAATATATATATTTTTTTTGTTAATTGAAGAAGAGATTTTAAGTCATTAACCACCTCCATGTGAATTTTTAGAGGAGCTAGTGGGGATTGGACAAACACTTTGATCCCCCCTTATACATTTTTCATATGTTGAAAGTCAGAAGAGCTTTGACTCTTAGACTTAAACAAAAATTAAAAGCATATCATGCTCACAGCTGACATTTCATGAACTTAGTGGCGCCATAGGGTCATACACAGACTAGCCTCAGACAGAATCAACACTATTTATCTTCTTGAACATGGGAGAAAACTTTTATTGATCCCCCTAAATAGATGCAGAAACCAATAAATATTTAGAGGCATATAATTGGAAGACGCAAAGAGAAAGTTTAACAAGCCCCTGTCCATTGATGTAGCAGAGCACCCAAAGGGGCGCCCTATCTACATGATGCATTGCCGGTTGAAGCATTGATTAAAAATTGACAGAAGGGCATGGACTGAGATAGACAGATTGCGTCTACTTCGTCAGACGGTAATGAGATGATGGCTTTTCGGATGAAACTCATTTGCGATCAGTCTTAATAAAAACCGGTGTGGAATCCCAGAAGAGTGTAGCTTCACACCATACATGAGTACATTTGATGAGGTACTTTTTGAAATGTCTCGACAGTTTACTTGCGTAATGTCTGAAGCAAGCCTCACTTTCGTTATGTCCTGCTGTTGTATTTTATCTTTTTAATAAATCTTTTAATTTCAAATTTCTTACTTTAATCATTTAGAGCATATTGCATTAGGTAGCTTGGTAAGAACCAGTCATGAGTTAGGAAGTTAACAACATTTGTATTGTTTTTTACGTAAAGAAAACAACAAGTGTGCAGTGGTTTGATCGCTCAACTACTCATGCACAATTTCTGAAATTTGATAGTTTTTTCATATGATGTCAGACAACTATATAATCAAAGATTTGAAGGACATCAAAAATTATATCAAGTCATAAGGCACGTTTCAATTATTATAACGTATCGCAAGACAGACTGTCTCGGGATATGTTATGGTAATTGAAATGTGTCTTATAAAGTGTTGATGCGAAGTATAAGCTGAGAAAGAAATTCTCAGCAAATACAAATCATGAGTTTCTTGGTGAAAGTTATGGAGTATATGGTTTAATTAGTATACTTAAGAGGGGAATAATGAATCATATGCCTTCAATCGTCAATCATTCTTTGATCACCATTTTCTCTGTGAAATTTTACAAGGTATGCGAAGGTATCGGTCTTTGTTAGTGAGCAATGCTGGATCATATGACTTTCTTGGTGAAATTCATGAGGTGTGGGGATCCATACATATACATGTTTTTTATTGAGAGGAACATATAAATAATTGGCCTTCAATCATTCCTTAATCATGTTTCGTGTGTGAATTTGAGCTATTAGGGGTCGATTTATCCAATTCAGAGAGATATGATAGATCGTTCACCTTCAATCATTCATGCCTTCATCAACATAGTGTTTATCTTCTCAACATTCCTGTGAACAAACATTGTTGATTAAAAGCACACTTGAACAACTTCACCAGGGAAGTCACCGTGAAGAAGAAAACGGCCAGCTGAGAAAACCTGCAATAATCACACCTCTTTTTATTTGACAGTCTCCAGAGGGAGCCGGTCTTTGGGATCCCGCTGGCTCTTGAATTATAAAATGTGGTTGCTGGAGTTGTGTCATAGAGGTGTTGGATGAATATTTCTCCTTGATTTTCATTTTTTTCTTCTTTCTGTTACTGTGCTTTACTTGTGATGAAGCTGATATTGTTTTAAAACAGGACTGTACAACTTTTGCAGCTTAAAACCGTCATAAATTGTTAAATGTCAGCTATGGCAAGGAACTGCCTAAACTTTCAAAAGTTCTGTGTGAATAAAGATTTATGGTTTAGCAGTTGTCTCATTGATTTGCAGATTTGTTGTTGTTGTTGCACTTGGGATTTAGGACATGGAAATTTAACTTGTTTGACTACATAAGATGAAAATGTTGATAACTATATGGAACTTAGATAGCTGTCTGTTAAAAGCCAGAAGGTCCTCACCTTGTTTACCTCAACACAGAGTTAAAGTCTTTCCAGCTCTGAAGATGTAATATATTCATTTGAAAATTGCATAAATGTCAATTTGTATAAAGGCAGAGAAAAGTCTTTGGTGGAAGAGGTTAACATCTCAGTTAGATAACACCAATGTATGTATGGTTCACCTGGTGCAGACTGTCATGTCTCTACAGTCCATTGCTTCATCTTAATGCCCATTCACACCTGACACTGTAAACTCACTTTGGCTAATCCTGCAGCAGAATAAAATGATGTAAGCATCGTTGGTTATTCATGTCGTGAAGTTGTTGTCACATGGTATCTCCTGACTATGGATCACAAGGCACTGGGTTGAAGCGAGGCACTGACATCCTTTGGCGAGACATTATCTACATTTGCCTGTTTTCACCAAGGTGATGTAAATGGGTACCCCCTAGGAAGAAATTCCTTGAATGCCAGAGGATTATATCTTGATAGCGTTGTTGGTATATACAGCTAGGGGTAGTAGCAGTAGTACTAGACTTAGAAACATTAGAATTAATCGCTATATAAATTTTACTATTGTAATTGGTGTCAAAAAAATGTATATTGAAGCACACCACATACATATCACAAAATAGGTGTAGGTGCCTTTATTGTGTAAATCTATGTTCTTTTAATATCCACTTACCATTCATTTACATATAAAGTGGTTTTCAATTTCTTGCGCAAAGTTTTTCCATTGGTTTCCTGCACCAAGTCTGAATAGGGCCATAGTGCTGGTAATTGTGAGGAACCCATAGGTGACAAATTACCGCATGCCTTATTGGTTGGAGAGACAAAAACCAATGGTCCATGGCAAGTTACGTGTCATATAAACATTCCAAGGCTGTAATGCGCTGGTATATGGACACTATCACACTATGTCAGCTCGTTACTTTGTACAACAAAACATGAACCGTGAGGTGAAAGAGTGAGGAGTCCTGAAGAAGAGCATGTTCTCTCTCGCCATTAAGATGTACACTGTGTATTGTTAAAAACATTGGAAGGGGGACTTGCTTTAAGACTCTTGATGACTGCATATTGGGCCTTTAATATATATATTTTTAAAATAAATTTTGGTACTTCCTAGATATATTCCAAAGAAAACAAAAATGTAGCAAATATGGAAGGTATAAAAAGAATTTAGAATCTATTTGTATAGATGTAATTTGCAATGTGATTTGCTATAGAATTTAGTTTAAGTACATGTGAGGAGACAGTGAGCTTAAGACTTAGAGAAAAGACACAAGGCGAGGATAAGTAAAAACTTGTGTAATCCATCTCCTTTTTAAAAGGAGAAAATGGGCTAAAGGCAATTTGTTGTGGATGCATTGCGCAATTATTGTGTCATTTGAGAGGCTGTAGAGAAGGAGAGTGTATTGGTCAAGTGGGAAAGTGAGATGCATGCTACATGGTTTTGTATTTTACAAACCAAACTCACAAGGTAATCTGTGAGGATTTGATTATATTCTTGGTTTGTGGTTATGCCATAAAAAGGTAAAAGGCAAAAGGTAAAAGAGAGTACTGAATCATCTACCTCATCACCTGACCAGTTCTTATATGTCTTCAGAGAAGTGTGCTTATTTAATTCACTCTCTTTAAGCCAAATCAAGATTCTGTCTTGTGAGATTCACATGACTGTATAGTCTGTACAAAATCATAAAATGGTATTAGGAGGGTTTACAACTAATGGTTTCTTATATTGAACTCTTTTTGTTCAAAATTCTTTCATTACATTTCATAATAAAATGTCTTATCATTGTAAAAGGTAATTACAGTTTAACCCATCATGCTTGTAGTGATAATCTATGTATATTTTGTGCCTTCTCAATATCAATATTCAATATTTGAAAATTCATAGCACCTGAAGAAACACATATGTATTATATTCATTTCTATACCATTTCATTCTTTTACCTACAGGTATCTTAGCACCTTTAGGAAGGACAACATCAATGTGATACTTCCCCAGGGTAATAATCACCAGACAACACTAAATTGGCAACACGTCTGACTTATGTTTCTACTAGAGCTCATCTAGGAGACACATTCTATGGCATAACATAGCTAGGCGATGAACTGGCGATGACACACCTGTATACAACCTAAATGCAGCGATATTGAATGATCCAGCACCTCTCAAACAGAACTCTACTGTGCAGGTTGGGTCTTAATTTGATCTGAATACACCCAGATTTGTGGATTTATTGATGAGCGTTTCATCTTACAAAGAATCCAGATATTTGATTTTACCGTCTGATGAATCAGTGTTGATTTCTTGCTCAGTGAAATCGCTCTAGCCTCACTGCAAGTCAATAGTACACTCACATCTGAGATGAGAGGAGGACAAGGAACATATTCCTCTTGAATTGAGCTGAAAACCTTGAGAGAGTCTGACTGCAAGCTGTCTCCAGGGACCAAAACGTCACAGACAGACAGACAGAGAGAGATCATTGTATGTCTACCAAGTACTTTGGATGGGAATACTTACTGTGCAGTAAAGCACTTCAGTCAGTACGTCCCAAAGAGAATTCTCTATTTTAGCTGAAAAACCTTGACATGTACTCGAGGGGGCCTACTTCATGTTTGTTTCTGTTTTAACAGCAACAATAGGATCACATGTTTGAAATCGATACTTCTTTGTTACATGCCACATTTTAAATGGATTAGTTACGTAAAGAGCCAAACCTTAATACGTTTGCAAAATTCATGAAAACATCTCAGTGATACAATCAGATAATTTTACGTCGGAGACAAAGCTAATTGCCACTGTCTTGCTTTACAATGAAAACAGTCTGCGCAACAACGAATTGTATGTTGAGCCATTAGCATCTTTAAGATTCAAGTGTCTCTCCGATTGATTGGAAATAAACCCGTTCGTCTCGTCGCTCTCCCACGCCTTACCCATTCCCCAAAGGATCTTTTGGATTTACCAGGATCTATAATTTGGATATATCACAAATTTTACACCACAGCTGCGAGACAATCAATACCTGTTTTCTTTTGAGGTGCAGACAGTGATAAGTTATCACTTATATCAAGTTAGAGGAGAAAAAGCGTTATCTTACTGTTCGTGACCAACAATCGCATTTGAAAACCTTCTGATTGATGTTTTCGTTGCTGGAAGGTGATTAGGAATAAACGTAGGTGAGCTTGGATTTAGTTGTCTATTTGATTGATTCAAAGAGAACTCTTTACGTCGTAGGGTTCTGATCATTGTATACATCAGACCCCTGGCATCAGTTGTAAGGAAGCCTCCGACAACGATCCCGAGCAGTGCATTGTGGGATCAAGTTTCTTGATTGACATCTTGCAGTTTAAATCACAGAGGTGAGTTTTGGCCATTGCTTTTTTGCTTTTGTAGGTAATGAGTCATTGTCTAGAGGATCGGAATATTAAGTGCTCCTCAGAATATTTCTCTAGATAAATGGCACACAAAACATGCTGTTTATTTAAGTATTTAATGACAATAAATATTGAACTATTTTAATGCATTTTTCCATTTGAGTTGGATTTTACAAATATTAATGGAAGGTACATTCTTGTGATATATATGTTTATGACTAAATGTCAAGCAGAAGAGAGAGAGGGAGGGAGAGAGAGAGAGAGAGAGAGAGAGAGAGAGAGAGAGAGAGAGAGAGATAGAGAGAGAGTGACGAAGGGAGAGAGAGAGAGAGAGAGAGTACGGAGGGAGAGATAGGGAGAAAGAGAGAGGAAGAGAGATAGAGAGAGAGAGAGAGAGAGAGAGAGAGATGGGAGGGAGAGTAGATGACAGAGGAAATAAAAGATATAACAGAAAATTATAGAAAGAAGAGGTGGAATCAAAAGTGAGGAATAGATACAGCTTTAAGAAGAAATAAGAAAATTGATTGTAGAAACTCGAGAAAAATGAAAAAAGGGGAAGAGAGATTATTGGAGACCTAAGATTATGGTGAAAAGAGGGAGAAAGGGAGGTATGTAGAAATATACTAGAAAAATAATGTAGAGAATGATAATAGCATGTGCTTAAAGGGTACTGGAGAACATTGACACTTTTTCACATTCTAAAAGGTGGGAGTGAGCCAGAAATGCATCATGAGATATGTGTTTATTGATCAAGCACTAGATTTTGGACAAAAATAGAACCCCTCCCTTGAGGCATTTATCCAGTAAGTTCACATCTTCCCCTGAAGTACAGTGTACTATATGTGTTTTTCAGATCACCGTCCATTAAACATGTCATTGCTTAGTTGATAGCTTTACATGTTCATATTTTATTGAACGGTTTAGCTCTGACTTTTTATAGAAATTTGAAATTGTTTGAAGGTGTTGGAATTATTAGCTCAGTGGCATAAGTGTGTTTGGCTTCTATTGAATGACTACAATTTTATTTCTGAATTGAATCAATTTGCTTCACGATAAATGTGATGATATTCTTTCATCATAAAATTTGGATCAATGATTTTAGCGGGGTTCTTTTAAAGAAAAGAAATATGTATAAATATTCCTATATTGCCGGTTATGATTATATGTTTAGATAACAATTAGATCACATTTTGGATTGACATATAGCATGCATGAACAACAAATTCTGATTGTTTAAACATATTTGTTGTTGGAGATGAGAAAGGTGCTTGCTTTGGTACATGGCCTGTGATAAGCTTTGATAACAGGCTATAAGCTAGATTAACACCAGCATCCTATGTTACTAAATACTTCTGTCTGTACAGATTGGAATCTGTGATCTGTGCATATGTAGCTTTACCATTAGTAGGTAGAATATAGGAAGTTTGTTAAATGCCGAGGACCTAATACCATGATGTGCAGTATTGTTTTGAGCATGCACAGTTTAGTTTGATTTTTTGTTAATTTCAAGTGACTGCAGTATATTTTCCTTCACACTTCTTTTTGCATTTTGTAGTTTTAATAAATACCTCTCTTAATTGTCAATGTAAGATAAAGGAAAACTTCATTAAGTCTTTGTATATTTTTCAATTCTTCTATGCTTGCCATAGATATACATACAACTTGAGGTATTTTAAAGAACTTGTTGAACGAATCCTTCTTTGATACTTTATGATAGGATGTGAACATTTCTAATCATGCTCAAGACAAACATTAGGCTCTCTATAATATGCTTCACTTCAACTCTGACCTTACACTTTACAGACCCCATTTTGAGACAAGCCTAGTAACAGCCAGACAACAATGATGAATTACCTTCGCCGAAGATTCTCTGATCCCAACGCGATGACCGGCCTGCCCGACGGCTACTTCCAGAACATTGGCCAGGAGGAGGTTGTTGAGAAGCGGACAGCCATCAGCACCTCCAACAGCCCCACCATGCCAAGGAGAGACAACAGCATGGGGTTCCTGAGCTCCTTGGCTCCACGTCAAGAGAAGGGCAACCAGAAGACATTGTTGGTTATCGATGACCTCCACACAGACTGGTGAGTAACCTGATCTTAGGTGCAGTGCAGCCTTGAGAATGTGCAGTTTTAGCAGTGAAGAAGTCACTTCATTCTTTGTATATTAAAAAAAGAAGAAATTGAGCAATAAGATCAGATAAACCACCCAGCCCCCAGAAAACAAGAATGTCTTTTATAAACAGTATGATTAGAAGTAGCTGAGACTGTTACCTTTCAAAATATCATTCCAGTCCTCTCTTCCAAAAACAGAGACTGATAAAAAAAAAAGTATTATATACTTGCATTGTTCAAAATCAAATGTTAGATTCCAATAAATTCAGCAAATTGACCCTCCCCAACCCCCCCCCCCAAAAAAAAACAAAAAAACAAAACAAAACAAAAACAACAACAACAACAGAGGGATATGTTGAGAAAATGCAAGGAATAAGAGTGTAATTTTAATTCTAGAAAAGACTTGCTAATTAGTGTTGTATTATTGGGTACTTTAATTGCAATCTATCTATGTGTATTGTCACTCAAAAATGCCCGAGCTAGGTTGCATGTTTCTAACCTAAGATTTTCACCTAGAATTTCATAGTGATAATGCTTGTTCATGTGTAGGCAGACTAGTGTTTTGAAAAGAGGTGTTTCCAAAAGCATTCAATATTTTCTTTTGTGATATACATTTTAAGGTTTTGTAAAAGTGTTAAGTGATTTCTTATAAAGACATTAACTTTTAGGTAAAAGTGACATGAATTAAGAACACATATTTTTGTACAACACACTATATATTAGATGACTTCCATTTGTCAGTGTAGCTTGCAACAGGTAACAAAATCCAACAACAAAAAAAGAAGAAGAAAGAACAATGCTTAAAATCTTTGTAATCGTCTTTAGGGAGATTACACAGAAACTCTGCAGAATCATCAAATTGATCAAATTGCTCTAAACCACCGTAAGCACTTTAGTTTCTCCTGAATGTATTAAAGATCATCCCCCAAAATACACATCATGAGCTATTCTTGTGATGAAAAGCTGAAGATTAAATCCTTGGGCAGTGTTTTTGAAAATTCTGTTCACATATGCCGTAGAAACAATGTTGTTTTTGTAGGATTTCTGTGTACTAAATGGATGGCAAGTGAGGATGAAAACGGAGCTCTGTCGCTACATACCGTAGGTTCTATGCGTACTCACTCATCTGTAGGTTACACAATATAAAAATGTGAAGCGCTGTACAAGGTGTAGGCTTTAAAAATTCATGGTAAACCACAGAATATGTGAACAAGCCTTAAGGTGGTCTCAATTTCTTGTTTTCCAAAGCCTACAGCATGTTCTATTTTAAAAACGTATTATGAGAATATTGATGATAGAAGGATCATATGTCTGTTTTCGTAATATAAATAGCCATGAGCTGGTTAATTCCATTGCATGTCAACCATCTTTTACGCAATCATTATGGCCAACTGATTGCTTTGTACAGCTAAAAGGGAATGACAATCATTTTTGAGTGGAGTAATATGTTGGTGTTTTTTGTTTTGTTAAACAATTGTATTAGTCCTTCTCCACATGTATTGTGACCTGTCACATATATATATATATAACAAGAATGAAAACTTGTATAAAATTGTGACATATTACTCATTTCATAATCATACTGAATAATAGTTGCCAAAGAAAGTATATATGACTTGAGGGCTATTCCATATATCCTTGAAAACGAAATAAAAATGCTGCAAGCTTTGCTTTATTAGATGTTTGACTATTTTAATGGGGACATCGCTTTTTATATCAGTGCTGCACAATTATTTTAAAACTAGATATTGAACTAATAATAGATACAAAGTTTTGTGATAAATAAAATAAAAAGTGGACCATTTTCTCATTTTGAAAATGATGTTCCCTAAAGTAGGTAAGCATTTCACTGAATAAACCTAAATAATGAAATGTGCCGACCAAATCAGATTTAAACAATGTTTTAGGTCTAGTTTGTGCAGATTAGGGTCACATGATCCGCAAATCCCTTTACATAAGACATTTGGGGTTCCATCACAAGTTGTGTTTTATGCATTGGATCGTGTAACACGATCGACTACGCTTGTTTTCCTTCCCAAAAGCCCACTCCGTAATGTGATTTAGGCCAGAAAGTAGGGTAAAGGGTAAACAAGAATGGAAAGGAGAGAAGCAGCAAAAAGAAGAGAATCTACAGGAACAGAAAGTGATTTAGTTTGGAAAATTTCAAAAAGAGTGCACCAAAACTAGAAGCTTTAAGCGTATGTGTCAAAAATTGCAGACAAGTGCCATTTTAATTGAAATAAAGACACCTTATCTAATTTTGTTTCAGGGGCACACAAACATATTTTAAATCTACTGTGTATTTTACAGGTAAAGCAACCCCCCCTCCTATTCTGCCAATACAGCTCCCAACTATAAGAAGGTAAACATTACTTTCTGAAGGGAAAGAAAAACTACTTGATGCCAAAATAAAGTTCTACCTCAAGAAGCAGAAACAAAATCTTCTTGTGTAATAAGTAATTCTTCTAGATATTTGAGCCAAGATTCCATGATATCACAATGCAGACATTCCACATAAGATAAGCTAAGAAATGTTCAATACTTTGAACAAACAAAATGTAGATATTTCTGTCCAAATATCTTCAGGTTACACTTTTTTCTTCCTATTTTTGTGATAAGATGGTATAGGCTTGAGGGAAGATATCTGAGAATGATATTGAATTTCCTAACATTGCTTGAACCTGATTTCCAATGTAACTTCTTCATATTGACTTTTCTCTTTGCTACAGGGCCAAATATTTCAGGGGGAAACTAATCCATGGAGAATATGAGATAAGAGTTGAACAGGTAAGAAGATTTTGATTTCATCTGCAGGTCAAAGGTCAGAGGGATGGTAACCCTTTGCCTATGGGTACTGGGTGGATTCTCTATTGAATATATAGGAATGAGAGAATTCACTATTCAGTGGCTTAAATATCAAAACAAAAATTGTACTAGTCCTGTGATTGCATTGTGAAAGGAGTTGTCTATAAGTTTCTTGGGAAAGGGTGATTATGTAGTGCATGAACATGATTGTATATTTGGTTTTAGTATGATCAAAATTACAAATTGAGCTGATCTTGCTGAAAATTGCATGCAGTGAAAAGCACTGCACACGTAATGTGGGATCTTATAGGACATCAAGCATATTCAGCATCAAAATCAGGTCCAAATTATAAAAAATCAATTATTATTAGTTTTATGTGAAATATATTTGGGATATTAAAACCTGTTAAGAGCATTCTCTGCTACTATGATGTTCATCTATTCAGGAATCACAAGAATTAGTAAACCCACAACTCATTTCCCAGCTCCACCAGAACTCAACTTATGTAATTTATCAGAGTGAACCACCCTTCTGCCTGCTATTAGGCAATTTCTTGGTATTTTAAATATATTCTAATTATTGATGCACTCTTTCAGTTTTTGCCCTTGACCCAAGTCTTGCCGTCCATTGGGGCTCAATCCTTAACTAGGTGAATCGGCTCTTTGTGAAGCAAAGGTCATGTCTTTAAAGAGTTGCGATTGATGTGGATTGATCACAAGTTCTCTAATCAATCACAAACATTCAAACTCCTGTCTCTTTAGTACAGAATTGTGATTGATATTGAGTTGTGATCAATTTAAGATGGGGCCCACAATATGTCACACTCGATGAATATGGCATCTAATCTAAAGAGCTTTTAGATAAACAGGTTGTCAGCATTGGAAAGCTTTGCATCAGTTTCCTTTTGAAGTATGGTGCTAAAAAATTGTCCTTATTTGATGCTTTAAGCTCACACCTGCAATAAGCCAGCATTGTCTGCTTATGCAAGTGCAATACATTTTCCAGTTCATCTTTCCCCTTACTGGAGCCTCTGTATCGATGAGTATTGATCACTAGTCTTGATGCAATGGATGAATTGCCTTGGTGGATCTGTGCAAAAACTTATGAATCATAGATTACTTGGGACTAAATATAGAAGATCATATTACTCTGTATGTTAATTCACTAGTTCTTGTTCCATATATCTATAAACACATTTTGTTTTATTGTACATTTTATAAGAAACCAAATTTAGAAAATCCTCTATTAATAATGATGACAATGATTTTGGTGATGATGATTGTAATTTTGATGAAGGTGATGATGCTGATGATATTGATGATGATGATACCGATGATGACAGCGCGGATGATGATGATGATGATGGTAATTGTGATGATGGCGTTATGATGATAATGATGATGATGATGATAATGATGATGATGATGATGATGCTGATGGTAATGTTGATGATGATAAAGATGATTAAGATAATCCATTCCGGTATACCACATGGAACATTAACAATTCCTAATCATTTCCCAAGAGCTTTTAAATTTTTACCCCAGTTGTAGCTCCTGTAACCATTATCAGTGCACAGTGCATTTAAAGGAATAATCCTACCAGGTGCCCACTTGCCTCACCTGCACGGCTCAACTATAGCAAATGTAGATTAATGTCTTGTCAAAGACAGAGATCTTTTTATATCTATAGGGTTGGACAGAAGAAAGATACTCTGTTAGTATTACTGTTCTTACTTAGATTGATGTTGTTGACGGTTACCACACAGTCTTTGTACACCATGGATCTTGGAATTAGAAGTGACTGGTTGACATTTATTTTAGATGACAATAAGATTTCTGTGCTGGGATGTTGTGACAAATTGTCAGAACAACATGCTAATAAAAATTATAAATGAGGTAAACAGATTTTATTCAATGTTCTGAACACTCAGAAAGATATTTATTATTCATCATGAATCTATCATTTTGATTTAATTCCAATACTTCTGTGATTGGAAGAATATTTTAGTCACCCATTCCGTATTCTTCTATTTGAAAAAAGAAGGGGAGAAAAGCAGACATGGTATTGAAAAAATAAAAATTTGTAATAGTTTACAGGCTTGAATGAAGCCTTTAAGTACATGTAAAATGGAGAAAAGTTCTGAGCTTTTTAAATCATAAGATTAATTGATTCTAGACAACATGAGGTGTCACTCTCTAAAAGCAGATGATATATCTTTTCAGCAGATATGTAATTTTTCTCTTTTTCAAATAGCTATTTTGAGCGATTATTTCCTCCAAAAAAATGAAGAAAAAAATATAATAAAATCAATGAAATTTCATGCCATTTTAAGATGGATTTCTGATCTATCAGTTTCTGATAAAAACAGGTGATGAAAAGATTCAGTCAGTTGAATGATTCTACACCTTTGAAAGTCCCTGTCTATCTTTCAATGAAAGTGATTTGTAAAGGCCCCAAGGATCATTGCACTAAATGCATCTGTGCCCCCATCTGGGTTATAGAAGCATTCTCATTGGAAGAACCTGTATGAGAAATGGTACATTGACCATTCCAAGAAAATATCTATCTTCACACATTTCTAACTTCTATTTCAAGTGAAGCACTCTGACTTGTCAGTGGGTATAGAGATAAAAGTACAGTACCTGTGAGTGTGAACATTTCTTCGTATGTCATATTTGGTGGAATTGGTGTGTGACTGATTTAACCTAGCTCTTACCTATTGATTTCTTTTTGATAATATTAAATAATTCAGAATGAAACCGTACCTGGTTCGTTAATCCTCATTAGCATAATTGAAAATCAGTGCTAAGTGTTGGGAATCAGCAGAACGGGCCTTAGCAGATCAGGTGCTGTTTTGATGACATTCTGGAGATTGGTGCAGGGACACGTAAATCACCTCCTCATTTGTTTATTCAGGGACATTCAAGATGAGGAACCGTTGGATGGGACAGCCTAATGAAAATTCAACACAAGCTTAACCGGATCATGTTTAGGATAATTTACCAACTTATCAGCAAGCATGTTATTCTCTGTTTACTGTCTTGATGGGACAGTAGTAGAGGTGTCAGAAGATAGGAGTCAGCAAGGGGGGGGGGGGGGGGGGGGACTTGGGGAACGACAGGTAGATTGGTAGAGTAGACACTGATTGCATCTATTTGACAAAGTAATGTACTTTATCCACTTCTGGATTTAGGTAAGAGCCTCATGGCCAGTGTAGTGGTTTGTTCACTTGATTCTCAGTCAGGAGATTAAGGGTTCAAATCTCTGCCTGCTTCATATTTCTTTGGTCAATGAATTTTAACTGCAATTGACTGTCTTCACCCAGATATGAATCGAGTACCTGACAGTTTTATTTCTTGAAAGTGGCTGCTGGTGCGAAATCTAGTGTAAGAGTAATAAATTCCCCCTAGAAATTCCTAGGAATTCCTAGGAAATCATGTCATTATGTGATATTCAATGTACAAAACATTTTTGATCATCATCGTGTTATCTTAGGGAGAAGAAGAGATGGTAGATAAGAGCAAATCAAAGTTTGAGTTAATAGCGCCCCTTTTGACTCTCAACGGATGATCTTGTATAAGTTATATGAGACAGATAGAAGGCAAGATGATTGGAATAGGAGAACTGGGATTCCTTTTAGGATTATGCTTCAGATGATTTAATGGCTTATTGGAGAATATCATGTACTCATTATCCAGGGTACTATGCTAGCAGAAATGGTAGGATATAGGAGAGAGAGGAGGATAGAGACTGGAAGAAGTAGGCAAGGTTGAAGAGTATTAGTGACTACTTGTCTGCATTTCCCTTCAGATAATCTACCTATTTAATGGAACAAGTTGGTGAACTTCATTTGGAGACCTGATTGGGTTTTAATAGAGACAGAAGAAAAGGAGAGTATTATGTTTAATAAGAACAACAGAAGAAGTCAAGGTAGAACAGATACAAGAGTGAAAGTGATAGTCTTTTGGATTTTATTTGGATATCATCTTGTTCAAGATTTATTACAGTGTCTCGGTAAGTGTGGAGTGGAATAAGAGAAAGTAGAGCAGATATTCAACTTTGTCTTGTCCATGCCCCCCCCCCCCCTCCTCATATAATGGCTTGTTCAATTATGACTAGAACCAGAAGTGTCAAGCAAATGGCACATGAATGAACAAACAATTAGCTAATACATGTGCAATATTGGTCCTACATATGCTCACTGTCTGTGTATGTGTTTAAGATACTGAAATAAAATAAAAAGCGTGTTGTATTATCATATCGTTAAAATATGATGCTGTTTACCGTGTTGTATATAAACAAATCTTGATAGTTAGAAGGAAGAGAGAGAGACGGGGGAGGAGCAGAGAGGGAGAGAGAAAATACATGCTGTAGACAGAGACAAATACAGGAAGAAACTAAGGCAAACATGCAGACAAAAAGCAAGAAAGAGGAAATTATGAGTGATAAGTGGTCAACCAATAAATTGATCATGATTAATAACCTGAAAGCTTTTTTTGATGAAAGCTTTCCCATGATAGCAATTCCTTGATACTTCCTGCCATTCCGTTTTCTCTTTTCCCAACGAAACGTGGGTGCCTCTCTCCTTTATAAGTTCTGCCATATACTATCACGATGACTTGTGGCATGTCGCACAGTTTTATCTGGCAAAGTGATTCATATGATATTGATTGAAGAGTAATTAAGTCTTCTTATTGAGAACTTTCAGAATTTAAGGCTGGTAATCATATTTTTGTATATTAAAGTATCAGTGGATTAATGTTGTCATATTTTTTTAAAATTGAATATAAAAAATGGTTTTGATTGCTACAGATGGAACTATTCTTTGTTTGTGGATCAAATAACCTACCGGTAAATTCATTTCTCCATATATAGGAGAAGAAAAAAAAAATCAAGATTTACAGGTATGATTGTTTTTTAAAGAAGACACGAAAATGTTAAAGCAAGTGCAGATTTTATATATAGATTGGAATGAAAATGATATTTAAACTTACCAAGACCTCTTACTGAGGGAAGTAGAATCAATAGGGTGGACTTTCAATTAACACAGGCAAGCCAGGTCAGGTCAATTTTTTCAGCTCTCGATCAGGTCGACATCTTTTAACCAGTGCAACACGGCAAAATGCTAGCCACTGTCACTGATTGAAATGACCAAAGTGGTCTGAACTGTGTAAATTCACTAAATGAGATTGATTGTTCTGATATCTGCGCACAATTTTTATATCAAATTTGGATGTCAAACCCACCCATCAATTGATTTTGTCTGCAAATATGGCTGTCTAATTTTGGACAAAATCAATAGAAATTGTCATTTTGGGGCCAAAAAGTGGTCATAAAGTGGCCAAAATAACCAAAACATCATAACTAGGGTCAATCAGGATTCAGCACAAAAAAGTGGGTGAAACATGATATCAACTAAACCCTGGTGTTGCTTTATGGCACTGGATTGTGAATCTGCCATTACAAATCTGTTTGAACAACATGCTAGTGAGCTAACACAGTGATGAGGTAGGTCTCCTTTCTTCCCAGGAGCTTGTGCTAAATCATATTAATATCTCATATTTCATGTTTTCTGAATCTGCCAGCACTCCCTATATCTTACCTACTGTCATATTAAGACTCTCCTCTTGGTTGGTATAAAAAGGTCTAGAGTTAAAAAACCAAGACCCCAAGCTGTCGCGAGTAGATATCACTTTGTGAAAAGTAATCCCCAGATCGTGCTATATAGCTGTGCTTGAGAATACTCTCTGTTCATAATGGATGTTAATTCAATGTGATTTAATCCTTTGGAAATGGCTGAGCTGACATCAAGCCCATTCTCTTGATGCATGATGGAAAGATATCTGGTTGTGCATCAATCATGTTAAGGATATTTTAAGAATGATTGCAATGAGTCTTTGTCTGGTTTCGTAAAATGAGAATCATTCTGAACAGGATCATAAAGACTTTCTAAAGGGACATTAAAATATAATTACATTAGCCTCGTGTATCATATTTTGATATGTAAGAACATTAGAATGACATTTGATGACAAACCCAAGCAGGATCTCTGTTGGCATTACAAAAGCATATTGAGATTGCCCTTCTGCTAATTTCTTGAAAGCATTGTTGTTCATGTTTCCAGTTTAGTAATCTTTAAAATATTTAGTTTGCACAAGATTTTGTTTTTTATGCCTCCGCCACCGAAGGTGGTGCCGGAGGCATCATGTTTTCGGGTTGTCCGTCCGTACGTCCGTACGTCCGTCCGTCCGTCCCGTTTGACCGTTATCACAATATCTCAAGAACCATTTAAGATTTAAACTTAAGACTCGGGAATAGTATTTATCACCATAGGAAGACGATCTGATTAGATTTTGGAGTACGTAGGTCAAAGGTCACAGGTCACAGAGGTCAACTTATGAAATTCCTTGTATTGAGTTTGTTAGCGCGATATCTCAAGAACCATTTGAGATTTAAACTTAAAACTTAAGGATAGTATGTATCACCATAGGAAGACGATCTGATTAGATTTTGGAGCACGTATGTCAAAGGTCAAGGGTCACAGAGGTCAACTTATGAAATTCCATACATTGAGATTGTTATCATGATATCTCAAGAACCACTGGAGATTTAAACTTCAAACTTAGTGATAGTGTGTATCACTATAGGAAAACAATCTGATTACATTTTGGAGCACGTAGGTCAAAGGTCAAAGGTCACAGGGCTCATTATGTATGCAAAAACAGCTTGTGATCGCGTTATCTGAACAACCGATTGATGGATTCCTGCCAAACTTTGGTCATGTATGTATCTTGCAGAGCTGATGAACTGATTAGATTTTGGGGTCACGAGGTCAAAGGTCAAAGGTCACAGGGCTCATTATGTATGCAAAAACAGCTTGTGATCGCGTTATCTGAAGAACCGATTGATGGATTCCTGCCAAACTTTGGTCATGTATGTATCTTGCAAAGCCAATGAACTGATTAGATTTTGGGGTCACGAGGTCAAAGGTCACAGCGCACATTATGTATGCAAAAATAGCTTGTGATCGTATTATCATTAGAACAGATTGATGGATTCCTGCCAAACTTTGGTCATGTATGTTACTTGCAGAGCTGATGAACTGATTAGATTTTGGGGTCATGAGGTAAAGGTCAAGGTCATGCGGCTCATTATGTATGCAAAAATAGCTTGTGATCGTATTATCATTAGAACAGATTGATGGATTCCTGCCAAACTTAGATCATTTATGTATCTTGCAGAGCCAATGAATGGTTCATAAGATCAAAGGTCATGGGCTCATTATGTATGCAAAAATAGCTTGTGGACGCATTCTCATTAGAACTGACAGATGGATTACTATTTAACTCAGGAAATCTTGCAGAGCCAATGAACTGAGTAGATTTTAGGGTCATGAGGTCAAAGATCAAAGGGTCATATATGTTTATGAGAAATTGCTTGTAATCACGATATTCTGAGAACATGTTGGATTACAATAATGGATTACAATTGAACTTGAATTTGAAAAATTTCTTCCGTTTCGGTTTGTAAAATTGCTCTATGACGGAGGCATCATTTTCGACTGCGCGCAGTCGAATTCCATCTAGTTTCTGATTTAACACTCTTATAAAACATTAAAAAAAAGATTTAGCTAAAAATTGCTGTACGTGTCATATTAAAAAAAACAGTTATCATGTGTTATGTTGTAGTCTGATAAAAATGATTGAGCTTCTTTTTATATCTTTATGAAATTGAAAATGTAGATGTGAATTGTAGTGAATTATCTCTTGGAGTATACTTACTTTACTATAGGTGATTGGAAATTTGGGGAAAACTGATTGAAAATTCTGGATAAGTGATTGAGGGTTTGGAACAGTACTAAAAACAATGATCTCATCAAATCTTTTTCAATTTATGTTTGATTACCAATTGGTGTTCAATGTGTTTGTCATCAATGAGAAGTTATATAATATTGGATGGCTTTGAGTGTGATACAAGAATATATTGCTCGAGCTATATAACAATATTGAACGAGTCAGAGACGAGTCCAATATATTCTTGTATCACACAAAACAAAGCCACACAATATTAATAATATTATTATCTATATCATGTTGAAAAGCAAAATTACAAAATTTGAATTACCTTGGCAAATATGGCTTTGTTTTCGTGTGATATCGATAGTTAAAGTTTCCGGATATGACTGAGCAATGCGAAAACAATATTGGTCCGTCATCTGGGTACTGTGCTAAAAATACACTGATTTATTGTACTACTTGTAAGCCTTGTATAGATAATAATTGACTATATTCTGCCGAGGTCCATACTAGTGCTAATACATATCCTTTAACATAGAATTATTTTCCTTATGGCTCTGAACATCTGAACATAATTTGTTGTGATCCTTTTATCGGCTGTCAGATGTATCCCTATTGAATCAAATTTAAAATATGGGAATGGGAAATGTATACCTTTGCTTAATTGTCACTCATTTCTTCCCCTCTCCTTTACATTTCTATACAGTGTGAGTTTTCTGAGTTGAACCTTGCCTCCTACAGCGATGCTGGGGTGACCGTAGACATGCGTGGCATCAGACAAGGACAAAGAGTTGTCAGGTAACCATAGCAACCAATTCAATTATAATCACGACTTCTGAGTTCAACAACCTCATAAAAATGAAAGAATCTTGCAATCACTGCCTTTAACATGTCAGCAGTAAATTAAGGTGAAAAGGAGATTTGAGTAAGAGGAAAACACTTCTTTCGCTTGATTAATTGACAATCAAAAATCTGCCGTCTAGGTTCATAATCAAGTCCTAGATTACGTCCATCTTGTATTTGCATGCCAGGTAAATGTGCCAATGTTTTGAAATGGCACGTACTCTCTCTGCCCAAGGCCAGAGGTATTTCTGAAGAAAGCGATTAATCTTCAAATGCCATTATGCATTCACCAGTCTGCAGGGGAGAAAACAATTATGGGAGAATTCCCACTTGTTTATTTCTATAAATACAGGAGGACTTCAGAAAGTATGCTGAAGCATTAAGGAGAAATGGATTGTGGTTGGCAAGAGAGGGCAGTATATTACCATTGAGGGTGTCAATCATTGAATGTACTCTAATACTATATAGCTTCTGTTTTTGTACATTTATGGAGGTTGCAGCCAAAATGTGCATGTCTTCATTAGAAATTCAGTAATTCATATTCTATATTTTAAAATATTTAGATGACATATTTGGGATTATGTTACTCAATATTGGTTAAGTTTTCTCTCTCTGTTTCTCTATCTCATGCTCTTTTTCTATCTATTTTTCCCTGTCTGTGTATATATCGAACTGTCAATCAATCTATCATTCTTTCAGTCTATCTCTCTCTCCCTCTTTCTCTGTTGTTAACATTCTTATTTTGTTCTATTCTTTTTACTGAAAAGTGTGGCAGTATCAATAATTCTTAAATAACTTCACTTTTTGATAATTAAAATGATTTTGCTTTTCCCACATTCATTTCATTTCATTTCTTATATTGGAATTCAGGAATTTCACAGTATATCAACTCATTTCCAGTATTTTGACATTATTTTGGAATGATTACATACCATCATAAGGTGGTTCATTAAAAGGTTAAACATTTGTATGTAAGAGCAAAACAAAATCAAAGCGCAGGCAAAAACCATATTTATTTTTTTGCTCTTTCAGAACATTCAAGCCTGATTACGTGTTGGTACGCCAGCATGCACGCAGTATGGAGGTACAGGAGGATTGGCGTAACCTTGTCATAGGGTTCCAGTACGGTAATGTACCGAGCTTGAACTCCTGGCAAGTAGTCTACAACTTCATGGACAAACCATGGGTGGTAAGTTTTATGGATACAGAGAGAAGATTGTAGCCAACTTATGATTTTTTTAAATTTTGTAATTGAATAAAAAGGGATTACATTCTGCCTTCTAAAGTCTTGGATAATTGTGTAAAAATTATGGCAAGTAATTGTTTTCTTTTCCTTCATTTTTTAGTAAAACTTAAAATTGTTTTAGCTACCATCTGGATAAAAAAAACATATCAATTTCACCCTTGATAAGTTTTCATTGCAATGTATCATGAAGGAATGGGTATATAAGGGAAACCTGCTTATCAAGACCACTTTTCTTGTCTCCATTGACTAGCCGTTATAGACAGGTCTCACTTTATTCTCTAAAGGCCTTTTTTTTTGGTTCTTACTATTTCAGCAGAGGATTGCGTAAACTGATAGTGGTCTATAATTTCCTTTTTTTTTCTGATACTTTATATAAAATAATTTGGATATAAAGACTACCTGCCTGAAAAAGGTTGCTTTTCTTGTCTCCCTTGAGTGGTCTTTATAGACAGGCTTCACTCTCTTATCAAAACTCTTTCCTTTTGTTGTACAGTGTTCTTATGCATTTGCATTTGTCAAATCGAAGTACTCGTCCGAAAGGAGAATGGCAAGGAGAAATTTCCTCTCATTTACCAAATCTGTATATTAAGATAACCTGACTGTAGAGACAGAATTTCTTGTCCCTCTTGAGTGGTCTTCGTTAAAAAAAAATACACTTAAAACCCTTCCTTTTCTTTCTTGCACAGTTTTCACAGCTGACTACTCGCCAGGAGAAGTTGGGCAAGGAGAAGTTCCCCCTCGTTGACCAAGCTTTCTTTCCTAATCATCGGGAAATGGTAAGTGATGACACTGTCATGGAGGAGAGATATATATAATGAGAAGATGGAAATGATGAAGAAAGAGGAATAGATAGTAGTTAGGAATGGGGTCAAGAGTCTGGTTCACAGAGAGAGAGAGAGACAGAGAGAGACAGAGAGAGACAGAGAGAGAGAGAGAGAGAGAGAGATTGTGAAAAATGAGAGATATAACAAATAGATGTATTAAGAAGGGAGAAATATATGTAGAGAGGTCCGACTTAAACTTTTTTAGATATGATCATTTACAGTATTAAGATGGTCATTACTTATTATCATAGTTAGCAACATGATGCAAACAGACAACACAGGTTTTCTACTCATCTTGGAGATGTTTTGTTGCCATGAAAAATGTGACCGTCAACAGAGGGCGATCTGTAGCAAGCCAGAATGGTAGCGTGAGGTGCGTGCATCCCGACAACACGCTCTCCTTGAAACGCCGGCAAAGCAGGAGCTGGCCATCCATTATCTTGCTTTACTCTTTGACATTACTTGCCAATTATGAGGGGTTGATGACAAGGCCTGGTGCAGAGGGCCGTGGCATCACGTCACTGTCATGCCATGCCCTGCTACGCCAGCCAGCCAATCAATGAACGGACGGACATTGCTTCCCGGCCCTCTGCTTGATGGAATGAGGTCAGGAGATTGCTCTTTGCTGATTGGTTGGATTTCCTAACTAGGACTCTGATTGGTCTGTGAGGCTGTAAGGGAAGTTCATAATGATAGAACCTTCATTCATGCCAATTTCCTCCATTTCTTTCCTTCAGTCTACCTTCTTTACGTTTGTGCATGTGCTCCTTAGTTTTGTCTATCTCTCTATTTTTCTAACATCCAGGCTTATGCCAACCTCTGTTTAGTTAAAATAAGCTTACCGGTACTTTCTTTATATTGTCAATTTCATTTATCACAGTTTTCTTTGTTTTTTCCTTTCCTGGATCTTATACCTCTTACACCTTACATCTTTTTTTATTTTCATACATTTGTTAGTTCTCCCTCGTCTCCCTTTCTTGCTCTCTGTTTCTCTGTCTGTATGTTTGTCTGTGTATGTTTGTCTTTTTTTTTCTCTCTCTCTATCTTTCTCTTTCTCTATCTCTCATTATACAATCTTGCTGTTGCTGTGTATTCTTCATGATCAGAACCATCTCAGTTTTTCTCTTGTGCTTTTATCTTTCTCTTTCTCCCTCTCTCTCTCTCTTTCTCTCTCTCTCTCTCTCTCCCTCTGTCTCTCTGTCTCACTCTATGTTTCTCTCTGCCTTGCTCTCCCCCTCGTATTCAACCTGCATCCTTAGAGCCTTTGTTTCTCTGTTAGGTTAGCTGCATTCATTGCCTTGTGCCAGACCATATGCAGTCAGCCAACCAATTCCTTATTACCACACTCCATTGCACCCACTTCCTCAAACACCACAGCCATGCTTTCATCATATCCAATCGCTATTTCTGTTTCATTTATCCCTCATTAAATCTACGTGCCCACATATGAATTTTTCTATAAATATATCCTTATTCATCTCTTGTAATATTTTGTTAATACCATGCGAGAAATGGTAGGCTTATATGTTTCTGGTACTGCCCTTTCCAAATGTCCGTATCCCCCTTGACAAAGGTCTTTGATTAATTGCCACCAAATGTTTCACAATATATTATTTTGTTTCAGTCCCATTCTTATCAAGGAAAAATCCAGCTTTAGTTATTAGTTAATCATTAATCATCGTAATCTATTTACAGTGTTCATTTAAAGCTCATATGATTTAAAAAGTAAAAAAAAACTAGTTACCATTTTGTTGTGGTGCAAATACCTCTAATGATGTTTCATGATTTTCACCATAATTAAGCTTTTATGCTCAGTACTTTTTGAGCTTTTAAATTGATGCTTCCAGTTTCTATTAATGAAATTAGAACAATTGATATTTGTACTGGTATCAATTTTTCTGTTTATAATTTGTTTCCATCTCATTGACTTCTAATGAAAGCTTCATACCCAAGCTAATATAATAATGATACTCATATTAATCTAAAAATATTCAAATAGCTTTGCTAGTATACCCCTATCTTTTGCAATCTTAAAACCAATTGTGCTCTCCCCATATTACCAATTATTGCGACACAATAACAGATTTGCAATATTTACCTTTTTCTCTGCCTCATTTAAGCTTCATGCCCAACTTATTTCTGAGTTAATATAATATTTCTATTTATATTAATCTACTAATGATGAATAAGCCCCAATTTTTGCTATATTTTGCTGGTTTACCCCTTCTGTTATCTTTTTCTGATATCCCCTTTGCTTTACCCTCCAACATCTTTTGTTGGACCCATTGAATAAAGAAGCCCAAAGTAACTGGCGAAGAGTCTGCAAAAACCATGTTATACTAAAATCAGATCCAATGGATTAATATTAATAGCAAAAAAGTAATGATATATTGACAATGATTTTGGTATAATATTATATTGCTGATCTACCCTTGAATATGCAAGTGGTGGGTTTGCATGGAGATTAATTAGTTATTGTGGGAGGGAAGGAAAGTGCTTCAGAGCTGTTGAGGTAGCGTTAGTAGCCCATCAATCAACGGAAGAAGCACTTGGTCGTCTTTAAGCACTAACCAACACATGCTCAGATCACCAGAGTTGATAATTAATCTAGTGTCGTTAATCATTGAAGAGACGGCAAGTGTCACTGACATTCAATATGAGAATGAGAGATGCGGAGATGGAGATTGAGAGGGGAAGGGGAGGGGAGGTAAAGAAAGAGGTGGAGAAAATCGGGTGGAGGGAAAGAGAGATGGGGATGTGGGTGAGTGGGAGAGTGAGAGAGAGAGAGAGAGAGAGATATGACTGATGGTGACGAGGAGGAGATGGACGAGGAGAAAGAGAAGAGAGGAATGGGTAAGAGAGAGATAATGTAAGGGAGGGAATGAAATAAATATAAAAATTCAAGATGGAGGGGAGGGAGAGAGAGAGAGAGAGAGAGAGAGACATAAGGAGAGCTGCATGCAGATGCAGACAAAGAGGTAGAGATGGAAGAGCATGAGAAAATGCTAGACACATAATGTAATTTTCTAGTTATGTGAACAAATGGTTATTGTATGTATGTGCAAAAAGGTTGATAGTGAGAAGGAACTATATGTATTTTGTGTTCTTTTCTTTTACAGAAAATAGAAGGAAAAATGAATTTTGAGTGATACAAGGGAAAGAGAAATCAAAAGAAAGGGAGGGAAAATAGGAGGCATATTAGGCACAATCAGACAAAGACCAGTGTACCTCAAATACAATTAGGAAAATAAATGCAACAATGTTATAGTATTACTTCTGTGATGGGTACAAGTACATTGGCATTTTCTTAAATCCACTTTTGTGTAAGATATATACATTATTCCCACATTATTAATCCAGCATTCAGTTTAGTGATTCTATCTTTAAAACTCTCCATTTTCGATGTAGAGCCTCTTAAGAATAAGGAGCACATTAATGTCCACAGCACCCTTTTAATTAATTACATAGCACTGTAGTCCCTCGCTGAAAATGGGCTGCTTTTTAGGACTCCTAATAGTTGGTGAGTCATTCTTCACCATTGATTTATGTTAGGCTGTCAGCTTTGTTCTTCAGTCTCATTCAGTTTGTTAGTGATTTATACTCATGGTTAGATATTAGCTTGATCCAATCAGAAAAGAGCAGCCTATTCTCACCCCTCCCCCTCAAACACTGGGATGCCAGAACCAGATGATAACAGAGTAATGATGTATGTTGCTAATGTGAAAATTACTTCCTATTTTCTGATATTCACATATATGCAGTGTCCCTATTATAGTGTTACACTGTAGATATATGATACAGTGGATGTGTTTTTTGCACATGTGTTCAAACCAGGAGGTTTCACTATTTATCTTCTTTGCTCTCTGAGAATTTTATGTTAGACATCGGCATTGTATATTATTGTATAGTATTAATGACTGCTTTGAGAGAAATAGTTGTTTTTATACGCTCAAGGGAAGGTTAGAATTGTGCTGTTCCCCGAGGCGTGCCGAGGGCAATAGCCCAATTGTAACCTTACCGAGAGCGTATAAAAACAACTATTTCTCGAATATTAAAGCAGTCATTAATACTTTTATATGCAAAAAAAAAAAAAAAAAACTTTTGTCGAAGATGGGATTTGATCTCTTGCGTACAAAAGGTGATGTAACTAAAATCATCGCCTTAAACCGCTCGGCTATCGCGCTCTGTTACCATACACAGCAGTTTTTTCTTTTATATACATTAAAATGGATTGAAAACGGCCTCGCGTGGTGGATGCTTCGCGGCTGCTCCATTAAACAGGCCCTTCTTTTACTTTTGCAATGCATATTGGCACGAATTTAGATCAAGATCTATCGGCAGATGTTGTTTTTTTGTTTTTGGAAGTTTATTTTCGTCTTCATGTCAACAATGCAAGATAAAATTGTCGGTAAGATCGATCGAGATTCAATTGTATTGAAATTACCGACCAATTCTTCGCACACGTACGGTATCCTCGATCGCTCAGACCATTTTTTAACATGTAAACCTATGGGGTGACCATGGAGACTGAACTATTTTCCCAATAACCATGGTTACTGGGATTATAGAACTGTTTTAACCATGGTTACTGGGAATTTTACAGAAATAGTTGAAGTTTATGAATGCAATTTCGACCAATCAGATGGCTGGATTTCTTAAGTGAGGTATATAATGTAATATATTGTACAATATAACTTGACACTTTAAAAATTAATTTGATTAAGTTACTTTGTCTTGCTATGTGTGCCTATGTGTGTTGGGAGTACTTTCCTGTGAGCCAATAAGCAAAGACACACACCCCCACACACACATCTTTCTTACATACCCCAAATCAAAATATCTGCAAAATTTCTCATGAGACAAAAACAAACATCAACACAAGAATATAGTTACTTTTACAAAACGTTTATTTCTTTAGAAAAGAAGAAGGCTTCTTATAGTGACACACTCATATACGGTGTGAAAGACAAAATTAATGTTACAGATAAGTGCATAAAGCAAACTATACAACATATAGAAATCATTGATGAATGAAAATACATACATTGACTTAGTTCAAGCGTGTAAATTCACCGTTAGAAATATTTCTTTTGTCCTTCAACTTACAGACCAAACTTTCTCATCACAATGTCATTATCTTTCAAAGCAAATTTGTATGTATGCTTCTATGTAGTAGAGCATGTTACATACCATTCTACACAAGATTCTTACTTTACCTATCCCTTGCACTTTTCAAGAAATCACAGTTGGAAAAAAATAGCTCTATGAAACATTGTATACTTTTGTATATTTTAGTATGATTACCACATGGTTAAACATATTTCTTATAATCTTTTGATTCTCATCGTGCATTATTGTAGAAGAGTAATTTCATGCAGGCAATAGATTCAAGAATAAATCATAAATGATGAGCCTTGAATCAATGTCACAGAGAGGGAGAGAGACACTCAGACTTTATAAAGCTACTAATTGTAGTTCCCTTCTTGCACTTAAGTAGTGAAATTATGAAATGATAATGATTTTGTGTCTGGAATACAATAATTTTGTTATGTATGATAGAGCTATTCTTAACTAAAGTAGTAGATATGGTATGTTACTGTTAATTCTACCGTTTACATTCATGATTTACTTTGTTACCATACAAAATGTATAATTAGAAATAACTTGCAAGTGACAGGTTTGTACACCATCAATCTTTCTTTCCCTGTTGATTTGTGTCTATAATGCTATTTTCATAATTCCTTCTTCCTTCCTTCCTTCTTTCATTCATTTATTCATAAACATAGACATTCATCAAGTAAAATACAACAAACATAACACTGCAAAATAATGATGATACAATATTTAGCACATTGCACAAGGTAACATTAAAAATAAGAAGAATCAGAAATGAAAGAAACATGAAGAATATTATTTGACTATTATACAGACTATTGTTAGTTCTGTCTCGTAAGTGTTATTACTGTTGATTCTTGTTTCAGTCCCCTAAAAATCCAGTTTTACATTCAAAGAATGCAATCAGGGACAGAAATAAAAAGCCGTTTGTTGCAAAGATCGTGTTATAATGTACTGAAAGTATTTCAATTTAGTTGAATAAGATTATTCATAACAAGTGCTATTAACATATTCTATATGGAAAACATGTGATAGATGAGCAAAGAGTTCACAAGAAAAGATGCTAAAATGGATGGAGAAAGTTTATAGACATATAGACAGCAGATCATTTTAAACAAACATTTTAAATTATACGTGTATATATAAAAAGACAAGCACATAACATATTTTTTGCATTTCTTATGTACAAATTTTTATACAAAATTTAAAGATTCAATCAAGGCATGTTCACATTTTCATATATTTTCAAACATATCTAAATTCAAATCTTGACCATTCATGCATATGATTATAATTATTTGTAGCAAATATTGATAATTTCTTGATAAGCTACAATGGTGGATATTTTTATTTATAATGCTGATTTTGATTTCAAGTACTTGTAATTCTTAAATCTGAAACTTAAACAAATATTGGAATTACAGTCTTATTCTTTATTATTATTTTATGTTTATAAATGCTACATTTGTAATGCATTATTAGGATGACTGGTGACTTCTTTAAGTGAGATATTAATAATTTAAACAGAAATTCGAGTCAAGAAATCACTTTCTGTCATATAAAAGTAAATAAACATAAAGGCTTCTATTGGAATGGTGTTGTAGAGCCTAAAATGATTGAGTATAAAAATTATTAAAATGCACTGCTTTGAGCCAATACTGATTTAGGAAAAAATACTCCTTTTTAAAAATTTCATTTGTTCATGTCATTTTTGGCAACATCCTGCAAAAAGATCACCCTTAACACTTACAGTGCTAGTTGCGAAAAAAAACTTGCACACTTTGACACTTTCAGTGCTCTCGTTGAAAAACTTCGGCTTAATATTGCCGGTGCTGTGTGTGAAAACTAGCACCCTTTAACACCGTGAGTGCTATGGGTGCAAACTAGCACCCTTTAACACTGTGAGTGTTATGGGTGCCAACTAGCACCCTTTAACACTTTCAGTGCTACCGGTGAAACCCAGCACCACAAAGTGTTCATAGTTGCACAAGGAGCTCAGCAAGCTGCACTGTGAGTGGCAGTAAAGATGTTATTAAAGGCAAAACTTGATCTTGAAGTGCTCTGTTCAATCTCTAGATCCATATCAGGGTGCTTTCAAACATTGCTTCAAGTCCTTTGATTGGTGCCATTGGCAGCCCTGTGCCGTCATCACACACGCTGTGTGCTGATTGGTGCATCTACTGTGCCATGCGTCCCACTCACAACCCGTCGGTGAAGCCTCTGGTTGTGCCTCCCCGCATGGATGCCGCAATCCACATGTATCAATCTGAGAAAAAGGAACAAAAAAAAGAATGAAATGTTATTATTTATTTGTTGAGTGTATTTTTACCTTATTTTCATATATTTATGTTGTACCGATTTAGATAGTAATATCATTATAGCTCATTAAGTCAGAGGAACCAGGGAGCTGATGAAAATATGCATCGGTCATTAAACGAAACACAGAGGATAGTGCATTATTGTAAACTAGAATACCAAGTAATTGGGAAGTTGTCTTTTGCCAACTCAAGGAAGCTTTTTTCCCATGGTCTGTGCATTAATATCTGTCAATACATTTGACAAATGCATGTCACCACACCTCTTTATCTCTCTTTTTAAACAAACAATTCTTCCCTGCCCAAACATTCTAGATATGATATCTCCTCTCAATAGTACAGATGTCTTACATTCTCATGAACCATACAGTCTAGCCTTGCTGCAAGGCAGAATCAGTCCTCTTTTCCCTCTCAAAGAAGATGGTTCAAATCGAGTATGAAATACAAAGACTATCTTTCCTCCCTGCTGCGAGAGCAAGAGGGAGAGGGAATAGTCTACATGTATAATATTTCAGTCTCCAGTGAACTTAAGTTTATAGATAGCAGAGTAAAGACTACTTCAGCCTGAGATATAAGCTACTTGTGAGTCAAGTAACCCTCTATAAATGCCATCTAGGAATGTCCATCAATGGAGTTTAGGGTTTCTATGATATTAAAACTGGTGATGAAAGTGGAGCAGAGGAATGGTATGAGAAATATGGTCCTGATACCCATCCAGAACTCAATAATGTCAATATTACAAATCATGCTAGCCCAAACACTTAAACTTTGGTTCAGTACAAGTTTCTTAATAAGATAGCATATAGCAAACATTTCAGCTTACAGATGAGAAAATGTATTATATTCTCTATCACCCAGTCACAATGCAACTTCATAATGTTACAAAAGAAATGAATAATTTTTTGAAACATAGCAAATTGTCTGTTTGGAGTCAGAAGGGAGAGAACTCATATACTTTCATACAGAGTTAATATCTTTCTGGCTCCAAACATACAAAATTGTTTTATTTCTTTCAGCTTACAGATGATATAAAATGAATTCTACGAGACAGAAATTTCTGTGTACTTTTTAAATCCTGGCAGTGTAATTGAAACAATGATGGGAGAAATATGGTAAGATATTTTGACATCTCAAGTGACGAAGTCTCATTCCATAGTACTCTCAATGGAAATTGGTTTATCATTCCCTGAGAGCCAAAAGGGCAGCAACATTATAACACCCCTCCAGCTCTCAGTATGACGGTATAAACTTGGTGAGTCTGGTCAAGTTATTTTCTTTGAGACTCATGATCAAGCTGTCACGATGATGATATAGGCAGATGTTATGCCATTATCCAATCAAGTTTTGAGACGAGTTGACCTCACTGTCAACTATTTGACATTCTGCCTTATACTTTGTAGCAAATGGAAACATTATTCTATAGCCAAGTCGGCTCCACATTTTGTGGAATTTTGTCTATAACATATGTGTTCATTTTACTTTTTTTTAAGAGACGGTAGAGGGGAAATATTTGTTTTATCTGCATCTGACAATGCAGTAGCTGATCACTATTGTGAAAATTCTAAAGTTTGTTGTAAAAGTAGTTGATGATTTAGTTCAGCCCAGTTGCATTTATCAGTGGTAGATGTAGAAATAGTAGTGCAATTTTGTAATAAATACAATATCAGTCTTTTGCAAAATAAAAAAATATGAAAGACTAGGGAAGAACAAAGAGTAGTTGACATATAAAACCCCCCAAATGTATGCAATATAGGCCAACAGCATGACAGGAATCAGGGTGTTTCAATACGCAGATGCAGTACATCTGCTGTGTCATATCTTAGGCAGGGAAAGCTGCTGAAACTTTGATGTAACTACCAGACATGGTAACTACCAGATTTGAAAAATTATAATATTAAAAGAAAAAGCAAGACAATTTAAACAAAGTAGAAACTCACCTGACAACTGCAGTTTTCAGCATACCAGTATTTGAGACCTCTCCTCTGCTTTGATGTAACTGTTTTCCATGAATGATGCCAATCACAGAAATCAAAGTTAAGTCCTCCATGGCCAAATGTACCTGTGAACAAGAAATGGACATGTTTGATATTGTATTTCACGTTGAGAGATGTAAAGGATATACATGAACATTGAAAAGATGATGTTTTTTTCTTGATACAGGTATTTTTGGGAGAATTTTCTTGCTAGTGAGAAGAGGCAGTTGTGAAGTACTATAATATCTACTTCTGATTTGCTGAGTACATACATGCACAGTTTTGTGGAGGAATAAAAAAAAAAACAATAAAGATTTTGTTGTATGTTTTTTTTTTTTTTTTTTTTTTGGGGGGGGGGGGAAATTAATGCTCTCATTTGAAATATAAATTCACAGCTATTCTATTGTTATATAACTCATATTTTTGATAGATATAGATCTTTAAAAGATTTGGTAGTAGATAAGTTTATATCATTTTGTTAAGTGCTCTCATCTGCTCAGAGTCAGAAGTGTATTAACTCTGTTTGAAAGTAAATGTGATAATGCTCTTCAGGCTCCAAACAGATGAAAACTTGACATAAATAAAATATTCTTCATTGCATATTTTAGAAGAACTTCTTACCCATGATAACATAGCTTTCATCATTCATCAGTGTTCCTACTCCACACATTGAATCATAGAATGGTGAGTAGATGTTAACGGTTGTAGTGTGTTTGAGTTTCTCAAATCCCTTGTAGACTTTCTGAATCACCCCAGACCATTCCCTGTGTGACTGGCTGAGCACTTCGATGGGTAGGTCAGGTATCTCGGGGTCGTTTATCTCGTAGCGTTGTCCATTGGGCAGCTTCAGCTTTTGCTTGAAGATTTTAACTCGGATTGCTATTTAAAAAAAGAGAAAATTGAAACCAAAAGGAAAATGGTTTAGTCATTGAGTCAACACTTTGAAAACTGCCATTAGGAATTTTGACTTTGATTGCTATTATAAAAAAAAGAGGAAGATGAAACCACAGGAAGAATGTTCAGTCATTAAAACTACACAAAGTAACACAACTATGGTTTTAATCAAGTCACATGAAAGTGTACTCAAGATTAAGAAAGGAACCCAAGGAAATTCTGTTAAATTCTTCATGCTTTCTTCTATCGATGCACTGCATTGATAGAAGAAAGCATGAAGAATCCCTTGACATATCCTGTTTTTATAAAATATCCATTTGTTGGTAGAAAAGCAAGGTTAAGTATTCATTTGAATATCAATTAAAAGTCTGTTCATATTTACTAGCATTACAAATGTTTGTCACCATCTTGTGTGTAAGAAAATAAAAAATGATAATATCAAAACACCACTAATAGTTTTTCAGACTTTGAAAACATGTTGCAGGAAATGAAACAAAAATAATGAGAATGACTTCTAGCCTCCCAATTAGAGTCCCACTAATTGTACGTAAGATCTTTGCCTCCAGGCATGCACACCCTTTAAAGCATTATTTTGGTCTCTTAATTGCCCTCCCATGCTGAGATTCGCTTCACCTGTCAAGAGCTTAAAGTCACACTGCATTCATATTTGTATCGCTGCCTTAGAGTTGCAGTAATCACAGCATGATGTAAATCTTAACACATGGGACTGTTATTATTCCCCACAGGGTCAGGTAGAGAAAATAGAGAATTGTTAAATAAAGGCTAATGAGGGGATATTTCTAGAAATTGCAAATGGACTTTTGTACTTGTAGCATCATGCAGTTTCCTAGAGCATTATGAATACTTATAAATCAAGATCTTATTTTCAAATCTTTACTTCCATATGCATGTATATTGAAATTTATAATAAGTTTGCTTATTTGTACTAAAAAAAAATTATTAGTTGTAGCAGAATAAACTGCTTACAGCCCTTTATGCGTGTGGCAGAAAAGAATGGAAATTGTTTATATGTTGCTGGGTGCTTGTGAATAAAGATATTAATTTATGAGTCTTTTGAGACTTATCACATATGTGGCTGTTAACTAACCTTTTCACAACATCTCTAATGAACAGGATCTTTTGTTTGAAAATTAAGATGTGTGAATTTGTAATTGGCCTGCTCATGAGTGCAGCTCATTCATATCCAACTTAAAAGTAATTTCCCTTGACCTTTTATAATATTTTGTCTACATAGGATTTGTCATTAGCTATTGCCATCTTCATTTTTTGCTACAAAAATATTTCCTGAAATGTGTTGACAACATGTCCATCAGGAATTGATAACACTGAAATTCAAGCTGGTAATTTTAATCATATAAAAGTATGTTATCTGTAGTAGTAAATTTTTGTTAAAACCTTGCCTCTATTTCTCTAAAGGGTTTGTGATCAGAAGAGAGAGAGAGAGAGAGAGAGAGAGAGCAATAGATATGCCAAAATGCCAAATTTGGTAGATAATATAGGACCCCTGTTCAGACCTTACACCTGACCATATATGGTATCACTCCTCGGTTTTCAGTGCAGTCTTTTGTCGGGACTCTTGTCTGTGACTCTAATAGTTCACCGACCCTCGAACTAGTCATATAAATACCTTTTTTTGCCTGAAGGTAGAAAGTATTTTGAGAGTTCTGAACGACCCTATCGTTATGTAGTTTTCTTTTTACCTTGCCCTAGTAGTGATATAAAGAACTGCATATCAACTGAAGTAGTATACTACATATCAAATAAGCTTAATGACTGAATTGTGACAGTTTTCAAATGTTAAAAATCGTACAAATATGCAATGTACACCTGTAAAGCTACAATTGATAGAACTTATAGAAAATAAATATATAGAATCATGTTAAAATGCAAATGACAAATGATTGTTTCTTGTGATTTACATTGTTCTTCATTGTTAATATATTATTCAGTTTCATGTGTTTTTTCCCTTTTTGTAACCCCCTCTACAAGTGAAGGACGCTATGTTCTGCTTTACGATGGTAATAGTGCCCTATCAGGTTTCATTTTTTGTATTTTCCTTTGTACCTCAATATGTACAGCTCTAACAAGCCAAAGTTGACAAATGTCATTGTTAGAAAGTCCAAAATCCATTTTTCATAGTCTCCCTCTGTTTACTTCTACCCAGATTTTCTCTTTCAACACTATTGACTCCCAAGTCTAATCCAACCAATAAATTCCTATCTACCAGGTGCACCCTTCTACTCCTATTGAATTCTTTTTGCCTCATGATTTTTTTTAAACACAAGGACATGAATCATTTAGCTCAATCTCCCAAAATCTGTCATCTGTGACAAGCTCCATGGAAGATAAATGAGATCAAAGCGGGCTCTATTCTCAGACCTGACAATAGTGAAAACGATTTTTCCTGCTTTTAATTGTTGAAATCAAAGTTATGATTTGATTTGTTATTGGGTCTTTATAGATTCAATGATGCTTGTGCCTTGAAGCGTTCTTAATTGATGATCGCATGCTGGAACTATATCCTGTCTTACTTGAATGTTCTTTGTATTCAAATAATTACTCTTTTTTGTGAAAAGATTTTTAGTCTAGTGGTAAGTCAGTTATATACAACGGAACATGAATCAACATTTCTAACTTTGAAAATTCTAAGTTAGATATTTTGAAAATTCAACTAAAACTAGCAAACAATTGTAGGGATTTCTCATACCAACTTTTACCCTTTAGAAATTACTTTGGTAACTTTTATATTTCCAACTCTCAGTCTTGGGAGCTCACATGCTTTTTTCTACCCTCTATATCTGTTTCTATGAGAAAAAAATTAAGTGTTGAACAAACATTCTTAGACGTAACTATTTTATGCTGAGCCCAGGATAACTTGGGCTAGAGTTTATAGAAGATGTGTGTTTTATCATGCAACTACGGGTACTACGAATTCAGATCGTATCCAGTGAGATACTATATTGAGCACGATTTCCTCACGACACTGGCACAGAGAAGATCAACTTGACAATGGCACGTTGGGTCAGGGGTCGTAGCGGTCAAGAGCACCCATGATGTCATGAGAGGGGTGGATTGTGGGTAAAGTATTACTGGAATGTAAGAGATAGCAACAATTGCCGCAGGTCACTCTGCCTGTTGATAGATCACTTGATTAAGAAAGAAATCGAGGATATGATGTTGCCTTCTCACTTTCTTCGAGATAATAATAATAATAAAATGGTGCTTATAAAGCATTTTCCACTGAAGTCTCTTAGTGTATGATCTAATTTATGCTTTTATTTTAAACTTTTAAATCCAATTTAAAGTACATTTGAATTGTGCAACACATTTCATAATTTGGGGGCCTTGTTCAGGCATTTCTCATTTATGAATGAGGGAATCTTGAAGTTTACAAGTTAAAACTATGTCTTTTGCAGATGATTTCATAATCTTTGCTTATGGTTTCAGTGATTAGTAAATTTTCACTACGTAAGTCAGTTTTAGGTTTCCTCGTTTTATTCTCTTTAACTTCTATTTCAGGGTACACTCACCAAATATTCCAAAAATATTTATATCTCCTTTGTAATATATCATTTAAAATCTATGGATCGTGACTTCAATCACTAGAAGGAATGGTCATCCCATCACTGCATTCTTGGATTTAGGATTGAGTGTCGCAAGGGAATCTTGCTGAGGTATGTGGACGTCACGGTACACCTTTAGGTCAGTGAGGGAGAGCCAGCCAAACTGCGCTAGCTCTTCCCTGATTGATGGTTTCAAACTCACGTGTATGATGAATCCCAATATTGCATTTCAATCGGCCGAGGCTTTGCAGGGGATTACTGGGAAATCAGTAGGATTGAAGTGTTAAAGGTGATAGGTTTTTCTGGGAAAGTTAGCAAAATTAAATGAAATGGCTATTTTGGTATTTATCTGACTGATTGAAACATTACCAGCAGGTTTCTGAAAACTTTAAAACTGACACTTCCCAAGAAATCATCAAACAAGATATTTTGTACTGATCAAATTTTTACAGACAAAGATTACACATCATTTTAGGAGGGATAATCGTGAAGCATTTAAAAAATTGATACCAAATTTGGTGCATAGAATCACTAGTTTCTCTCAAAAATTACTTTCTTCATACTAGTGCCCATGTTCCCATTGGTCTTTAAAACTAATAATAGTTACAACATAATGAGTGGTGGTTCAATGTTGAATGAAGGAACATAACTTGTGATGTTGATTTGAGATGATGAGGTGAGAATAGATGATTTAATAAAACCCTTCTTTACTAGAGTATCACATGGTATATTCTTTAAGAGTAACGTTTTGTTGTTCTGATCTGAATTGTGCATCATTTTTCAAGAAACCATCAATCGATAGAATCTTCACAGTCTAGTTATGCAAGGCATTATGTTTCTGGAATATTTTACATCAGATAGTTTAGATTCTATAAGCACCTGCACTGTACATGTACTAGTAACACTTTTCTACTCATCCTAATGGTTTCACTACAGGTTATGTGCATTAAAGTGTTTTATAGATGTTTTATAGATGTAAGCTATGTCTCATATATGATTCTTTAAGTACTACTTCTAAGACTTTTTCATTTATCTTCATCAAATACTTGATTCAGGATAATGTTCTCCAGACATGAATTCTGAAAGATCTCTTAACCCATTGAATACTATATTTTGATCAAACACATATCTACCATAGACTTTTACTCAAGATATCCAAGGCTTGATATTAAACAGATTAAAGCTCTGGTTTCAATTAGCAACAAAAATCCCCCCCCCCCCCCTCATCAGTAAACAACTCCAGCTGTTCATTCACTCTCATAGAGTATACCACCAATGATGGTCATACTAGCAGGCTGTAATTAGGAGATGGCAATTAGTTAGTTTACACCTTGGTGGTATCATCTGTTGCATGTTTGAAGACATAGACCAGGCCCTCCTCAATAGGACCAATTCACACCT